GTCTACATCCCGAAAGGCTTGGTGCATTCCTTTCCTGCTGAGAGTATCGAAATGACTATCATAAACGCCGTATATTCCAATATCAATTTCAAATTGTCTTTATCAGTATTTTTACCTTTTAGTAAAAATACGACGGAGAGTATGCTTCAAGTTTTACGCCCGCATATTGCACAAATATAACCAGAAAATAAAACTTAAGAGCATGCGGTTTTATCCGTGATGATAATTATTGGTACTCAACGAAAGAAGAAATCAAGTTATTCTGCGTATTAAATTAAAGGAAGTGAAATTAATTTCTGACTTGAAATAGCTAAACTGTTTTCTTGCGGTTTGTTTTCGTGGTTCTTAAGAACTGGATACACCTGCGTTAAGGTTGTAGCCGGTGAAAAGAGATCGACGGCAAACGACACAATTCCCATTCATTGCAAATGAAGTCCTTAATATTCCCTTCTTCGTACGTGATAACTGTTTTGGAAGGAATTATTTGGTTTTCGTTTCGCCTGCAGCGACTCTATCACCGCTCTTCGCCGGCAAAAGTGATGCTATTCATCGGCTTGGCAAGTTACTCAGATCTCACATCGCTTAAAAATTTCACCAGCATTTGCAACCGATACAGACTGCGTCAATCGTACTCCTAAAGAAATTGTTTCATTCCTTTTCTCCTCCCCCATCTGGTTTCAAAAGCTGACAGATTCTTCGCCAAGAAAAAAATTCCTAGTCAAGTATGTAAAACATATACAGGTGCAAGAGGGGATTTGTATTTTAAAATCAGTTCACAGATAAGTTATGTTGAAGGTAATCAGTTTCTCAATTCTCAAAATGCATGAGCTTGTCCAGACCTGGTTGCCACACCCATAGGTTGTTGACCTCCAACGATCTTCCCCACACAGCCATCCTTGCCACCCACTGCTTTGAGCCAGTCACATGCAGTGTACACGAATTGAGACAGAGAGATCTTAGTGTAAAGTCGAGGAGCAAAATTGATTGGTATTCTTAGAAACCCAAAAACCGTTTGCTATTTAATTTCATCAAAGAATATTTTTGTTATCTTTAAGGCTGCTACGTATACATATTATTTTTCACTCACGCCTTGGGATATGGGTAAATGTTTTTTGGGGAAGAAAATCTTATGTTAATTGAAAACAGAAATTTTGACAAGAAAGCACATGTATTCTGAGGAGATCTACGCAGATGTGACTCTCAGATTAATGTTCTTTTTGAATAACAGAAAATCAATAATAAATGATGTTTGACTTAAAGTAAGGCCGCAACATATTATGTTTTACTAATGACATGGGTAAATGGTTTTTGGAAGGAAATGTTAATTAAATTAAAAACAGAAATTTTATCAAAGAAGTACTTTGTTTAATTTTGTTAAGTCACTAAAATAATTTACTCGGAAAAAGTCTGAAACATGTCCTTTATGGCCCCACTGACGTCCATGCTTACGATAAACGCAGCCACATAATTGGACAGGCTTGAGCAATTAACATTTCCTCGATATTAGTCTTGAAAGCCTTGAAGATCCAGTGGTAAAGCACCTGAACCTATAGAATTCACAGAGCAATGAAAGAGGTGTCTTGTCTTTATCCATTTAATTTCAGTTGTCAGCACAATGTTTTTTCGTTGTCCCACGCTGTTGACATGACGAATATGACTAATTCCACTTCACGTTTTATATTAACAGGAAAATGGAGATTCTTTTTGTGTTGTTTCTAATGCTATGTAGCATTACAGCTGAAGGAAATTCAGGTAGGAGTAGTTCATATTCACTCATTCTGTTAAGTACAGTAAAGTCTAAGTAAAACATGGTGATGTGAGCCAAAATAAAAGAATATAAACAAAGAAATAAAAACGGCGATAACCGACTGCTGGAAAAGTTCTTCGTGTTGTTTATTCACGATTGAAAGCTACATGCAATCGTTGACAACAACCTTTTCTGAAAAGTAGAAAAAGTAGATTCAGACAGCAAAAATGGAAAACACAGGTACAAACAGAGGGAAAATGTCGAATAAACGGTGCATGCAGAGAGCAAGATTGCAGTAGTTAAAGTGTAGGTTATAAAACTAGTGAAGCGACATCACGAGCCGCCTGCTGTGCTTTACTTTAGCGGTTTTCCTGCCTGACTTGCTTGATTCTCCCTTCAGATGTTTTGTCTGAATAACAAAATTCACTTTTCCCTAGCTAACGCTAATAATAGCGCAAGTTTTAAAAGAAAAATGGTTCTGAATCACCGGTTTTGCTCATTCACAACAACAAACAAACTTGTGAATGAAGCTGCCAACGATTCCGCCCGGGTTAGCGGGCAAGATCGTAAAAAACTGCCCGCTCTCGGAACCAATCAGATTGCAGGATTTCGAGGATTCCGCCCGCTCGCAAGCTCAGAAAAAAGTAAATTACGATATTTAATTTTTTTTAAGGGGCAATATGAGTCACCCTTTTTGGGCCCTTGCTGCTGTTAATCAGCGGTATACTTGCAACCTCGTCCACAGGAAGGAGAGGGCGGCCTCTTAACAACTTTGAGGATTTTCTCTGTAAGGAAATAAAGGGAGTTTCGATGCGTAGGTGTTTGACCTGCATCAACTTATCCCAAATTGAAAATTCGGATTCATAATGAGTTCGGAAATATTTCCCAGGGTGTGAACCTAGCTAGCCCTAGACAAACTATGAGAGTTAAACTGCTAAGGAACAATCTAATATCTAAGATGCTAATGTACTACTAATCCGACTAGTAATTACTAGAAATGACTATATGATTAGAAATTGTGCATTTGATTCTGCAGAATGCGGTTCAGTAGTAAACAATACTACACTAACAAGTCCAGGATATCCAAACCACTATCCAAGAAACATGGATTGTACTTGGACTTCGGAAATTCCAGCAGGAAAAATTCTGAATGTGACCTTTGCATCATTCGACATGGAACCTCTGTGGGATTGTGTGTAGGCGATTTAAATGAGAAGTAGAAAAGGGTTGCAAAGTCCTCGAGCCATATCCATCTAAAATCAGTACTATAGAGCTGAATATCTGCTAACAGACACCGGCCTCCAATAAACGGCCTTATTTCATAGTTCCATTGGGGGGTTGGGGTTAGGTATAGCTTAAGGGTACTTTTGTCAATAGACCTCTATAGCTTATATTTTTTTGTTTTCTTAATGTATGTCATGTGATAATAATCCAGAGAACTGTGTATTTCAAACTTCGATTTTTTTCTCGTGCATATGTACCCATAATTTATGAAAAGAGAAAGTGGGCAAAAGCTTAAGCTTAAGACTTAAGACTCTTTAAAAAGAGACTATGGCACCTGCGAACTGAAGTTATTATTACACTAGCCCGGGATTTTTCCTGAGGGAGGGGGGACGTCTGTACACAGGCTGTTATTACACCAGTCTGTCAAGAGACGCGTATTCTTAAATGAATTTTAATTTTAATTTTTTTTTTAAGCAAACATACAGACACACTTGTTATTCTGTTTTTCTTGTGACTTTTCTTCCTACATTCAAAACAGTAGAAGTACGCCACTCTGCCTTAACTCAAAACACATTCTACGCTCGCTTGAACATTTTCCAGAGGTTTATGGTTTGACTTATTCGTGAAGTTATTGAACGATTTTGTATATTAATTCGGCAAGACAAAGCCTAACAAGATAGATCGTCCCTTACTTTTTCATGGAAAAATAATTGTTGACCAAAGCGATGGGCGTTAACAATCTAGCAGAGTAGTAGTTTGACACTCTCGCATGAGAAGCGAAGAAGCTTACCTGGCTGCAATGTACACAACATAAAACTGCAATAATATTACAAAGCTATCGAAAAAAGACCAGTTACGGACTTTTGTGGGCAAAATGCAAGAACAAAACAAATAAATAAAATATGTAACCTTGCGCAGGTTAACAAAGCAAATTTGTCACCAAAAAAAAATTTTTGTTTTTGTAGAAGAACCAACCGGTTTTACTGTTTCATCGGGTCTGAAATTTTTATTTTCTTGTAGGAACGACTATTTGAACATTTACCATCAAAGCAACGTTCTTATTGGCAGATATTGCGGTAATTTGACGTACAATTTGGCAGTGATGGTTGCCGGGAATTACACAGTGATTAAATTCCACTCGGAAAACGTTGACAAAGGAAACCGTGGATTTAGATTGCATTTCAGTGAATTACCTCGAAGTGGTAAGTGCAGAAGGGACCAAAGCGTAATACAAGAATTTGTGTGGGAAATAATTTTCAATGTTCAATCTAACCTACTTGGGAGCACAGGCCCTTCGATCTTCTTAGATAGCTCGGGACAGTATCTAAGATGGTGAACAGCGGTGATATTTTACGTATCACGTTTGTCATCTTGTAGAGCAGCTTGCGCCGCAGCTGCTTTCTATTAAACGTTTAACAAGTAGAGAAATGTCAAAACACAACGAAACCCCAACGAAAGCCCTTCCCTATCCATCTACATACACACAAGCGGTCGCGATATGAATTTGCTCTACGTCCGAGGGCTAGACCTATTTCTTTATTTTGAGTAAGCGGAGTAGCTAAACAGTTTGTGTGCGGTTGCAGAAACAATAGGTGCGGTTGCACACACCACGGTATGGGACATTTCTCACGGAAATGTTAGTCTGGCTACACATCAATTAATTGTCTACGTAAATTAGCTGCTCTAACGTCTTCATTCGCGAGGGAGCTTAAGCAACAACGACGGCGACGGCTACGAAAACGTTACATAAAAAGTGAATTCGCACCGCTTCAAACTTTATCGCGTTTATTCATCTCATTCAATTCGTCAAATCTTGACAATTTTTTCTGGAGCTGAATTCTAAAAGACTGTATCGAAGTTCAGGAATAGAAAAATCAAGTCGTTGCCTTGTGTTCACGTCCTCCACAAAACGTGAAATTAGTCATTTTCACGTCGTACTCGTGCAGTGACGCCAAAGATATGTTCAAAAAAGCATGATGCATGTCCAAAGTTGTTGTCCCACCTAATAGCAAACAGTTTAATCCAAACGATGCAAAGTAGAAGTAAATATTTCGATTATCTCTCATTTACCTCGGCAGAGCTATGCGGTACGGCGAAGGATAATATACTGAGATCCCCTGTATATGTACAAAGTTATCCACCAAATATGCACTGCGTCTATAATATCTCAGTTCCACATGGCAAGGTGCAAAAACTTGTGTTTCAAATATTTGAACTGGCGTTTGATCCAGAATGCAGGTTAGAGTAATATTCCTTGATTAAGCGTGTTTCTAACTATAGTGTGTTAGTGAACAGTGTCAAAATAAACCGTGAAAATACTAACTATTTTTGGGTGAAAGGGAAGCCTGAGCCGGCAAGAAATGGTGGCTTATGATCCAAGGATAATTATACAAAACTTTGGGTAATAATATAATGAGCTCAAGTAATTACATGTTAACAGGGCAAGAAGTGCACCTAATAAGGATACCAATATCTGTGACAGTTATTGGCGAGCAAAAATTGACATAATTCACTAGGAAGTGAATCTGTTGATAAACATCATCAGGTTTCAAATTTCTACGTAATGCAGGTGTCATTCATATTAAAAACCTCGGCTTAATTTTGAAGGGTCAAAACTTTTAACTAACTTAAAGTAAACCGTTTTCTCTTAGTTTGTTTTTGTTTTGTTTTCTTTGTACTTACTTTAAGGAATTGGCCACCACTTCGAAATGTTTAGTAGTCAAATGGCTCTTACAAAAAGTTAATATCATGTCATGGAAAAGAAACTTCAAAGAAACCAATCCATCTGAATGGTTCTTTATTCTGAACAGAAGCCTTTGACTTAATGCATTTTAACAGGAACATATATAAAAGTAATTTAATGTAAACCCGTGAAATATTGAGTATTTCCTTTTGCAGATTGAACTACCTGAGCATTTCGCATGGTAATAACTCTAGCGGCCATTACTGCGGTAACTTAACGGGAAAAGTTATTTTCGTTTCACGAGACTATCTGGTGTTAACATTTCACTCAAACGAGAAATTTGATCCTAAGAATAGAGGATTTGAAATATTTTTTACGGAAGATGTAAACATGCCTGGTAAGTGAATGTACTCTACTATATCGATACTACTATACCAAATTACATTAGAGTACAGGCACATGGATGACGTCATGGAAACGTTTTTCTTTGTTTGACAAACATGGCGCGCGCTTTTGAAGGATATGGGAGATTATTTCGGAATAAGCAAGTGAAGGACTTAAAGAGGTGGGGCTCGTGTACCTCTTATTTGTTTGTTTGGTTTTGTTTTTACCACTTTCACACTCTATCTGTGATCTATAACTGAACAGACGTACGGCAACATGGAATCTATTTGCAGAACGTTGTCAATAGAAAAGGCACCCTGCGAGCAGGACCTAATTTTGTCCAACAGATGAAAAAAAAAAGAATCTGCTAGCAGGGTGGACAAAAGTTTATGTAAATTAATAATGATCACCAAAGAGAAAATGCTATGATCTTTTATCAAATGGAAATGAGCGGAGATCGGTATGGATAATTATTGTGTACGGGCGTTTTGCTGAATTTTTCATGTTGGCAAATATCATGGTAGAGGAAAAGCTTTAGCATTATTTTAAAATTACAATTAAAAAAAGACCGGTCACATATTGAATATCCTGAGAAAACAGCCGTGATTTCGCGATCCCACCACTGGTTTCCCCGCGAAGTGACGTCTTAGGAAGGACTGCAACAATTCCATACTTATGAAGTGTCATTACCCAGATTTGGGTAGTGCTTCTGATTGGTTGAGGCATACTTAGCGACACAACCAATCAGAAACACTACCCAGATCTGGAATGTTGGCATACGTCATTTCGCGGAAAAACCGGTGGTGGGCTCGCGAAATGTTGGCTGTTTTCTCAGGCTAAGTATTGAATAAGTTATACTTTGACTACATGTTTCAGCACCTTGTCCAATAGGATGGACAAGCCTTTATGGTTCTTGCTACAAAGTATCTTCCAACGAACTGGACTGGAACTCAGCAAAGGCAATCTGCGAGGAACTGGGATCAAGTCTTGTTATTCTGAACTCACTGGCTAAAATACAAGAGCTCATTAAAAGAACAAATGGCCAGACGTGGATTGGTTTACAGAGGGATATCACTGACAGTTCACGCTGGCAATGGGTTGATGGGTCTGCCGCTTTTTATAGCTACTGGTGGAGTGGAGAGCCAAACAATCACGGAAATAGTGGCGAAAATTGTGTAGTAATGAACCCTCACATAGGAAAATGGAATGACCAAGGGTGTTTGTCTTCCCATTATTACGTTTGTGAAATCAACGGTAACACAACTTTCTATGATAATAATTACGCCCACGAGTAAAAGGTCAAGTAAATTGTAAGTTTGACAGTACTGTCAATGATTGTGCCGTTTACCTAGGATCCCAATGAATCTGGACATTTCCCGTTCGTCATAATAGTAGACCTTTTGTAGAATAGTAAAACGAAAATCAGATTTTGTTCCAGCGACAATAATAATAGCAGTCATCAAAAACAACTTTTGATTCCCTCTAATTACAGCTTATGATAATATTCGTTCATTTAAGAAATCTTGGAGACCTTCAGATTCTAGGGCGAGAACGACTACGAGCATGAGATTTAATTTAAAGTCTTTTTTCACGCATACTCAAATAATAGACACCGCGGATAACTTCACTCTACATATTTTTCACCAAAAAATCAACTCTGTTATCTATTTTGAATGAATTTAGGCTCCCAGCTGCAAAATAATAAAACCTATAACACTTTATAACTCACTTGCGTCCGCTAACACGCTAACTCGATATGAAATGACGACGACTGTCACGTTTCCCGCCAAAATGACGCTGGTTCACTCGCACGCACTACTGAATACTGAGGAAATCTAGTACTCGTAGTCGTACTCGTCTTAGAATCTAAAGGTCTCTATTTGTCTTTCGCAGGTTGCCCCCAGGACTGGATTCAGATCGTCGGCTCCTGCTATAGAGCCTCTTCTTACGCACTGGATTGGTTCGCGGCAGAATCGGCCTGTAAGGCAATTGAATCTAGTCTCCCTATGGTGACTTCACGTGCTGAACAAAATGCCCTTGGCTCATTTCTAACACAAAGCGCGTGGACTGGTCTGCACAGGAATCCCACTCGCAATTCAAGTGGGGTTGGCTTGGTCAGTGGTTCACAAGGTAGTTACGGTCATGAATTACGCAGTCAATTGGAACGTTTGACGGGCGAGGGAGATTGTGTAGAGATAAATTCGAAGGGACAACTGCAAAATAGAAACTGTAGTCATCACCATCGGTACCTTTGCAAAATATCGGCAGGTAAGTAAGAAAACGTCATGTGTTTCTGGAAGAGTTAGAATTTCTGTTCCAGATTATGCTTGTGTGTATTGTATAAAGGTGCCAGTTAAGAATCCTAAAAAGGTACCACTCTCTTGAAAGAAATGGAATAAAAAGAATACATAAAAATTAACACTTGATTGCAAGGTCCATTAACCTCAACCGGAGCGACCCACTCATATACTAATGACGACGTTTCCACAATCATCAAGTATTTTAGATTCATTGTAAAGTACTTTTCTAGCAAAAATAAATAAGCTGCCGGTAAAAAGCACTAAATGGATTTTACTTTGCTTCCCTTTTACACTCTGTCTATTTTAAAAAGGAACTAAGTGCAGAAAACCTTCACTGCGGGATGATGTGGTTATTTCACCTTCTGATTGCCTTTTACCAACTCACCCATATGGAAAGATTTGCTCTTTTTACTGCGTCCGTGGATATCAAGTCAGCGGTCCTTCATCTGTTCGTTGCGGGATTGGTGGATCATGGAGTGAAGATGCCAACAGCATCATTTGTGATGGTTTGTATCTCGATCGTTTAACTTTCACTCCCCCCCCCCACCCCCTCAATTGTAGCGTTAAAAATAAGCCATTGTTTACAATTTTTTGGATTGCTGTCAATCCAACCCGAAAGCTATTGACTTCTGCAGATTAGAGCTTCTAAATCAAGGTATTCTTCCAACTAGTAAATGGGATGTCTTATCCCAAGTTTGTGCAGCTTTTTTTTATTTGTCATCATTATATAAATAATCTTCAGTTTTAAAATAATCATCACCACCGCTACAACCAACACTGCCACCACCATTACCACCATTAATATATAGATTTAGCCAGGGCTAAAAGCGAAGCTCCTACTATCTCGAATTTATTATTTAAATCAAACAATTGTAAACTTGTATTCCACAAATCAGTTAACTTTAGAGCACATTCAGGTGACTTTTGAGGGAAAGGCTAAGTAATTTTAGAGAAAAATAATTTGCAAACAGTCCAAGCCAAGAGTGAAATTAATCTTACATCGACTTGATAGCCTTATATGTACACCATAGCCATAATGGTCTTGATCATAGTACATTAGGCCTGGAAAACAAATTCTTGGAAAACAAATCAGGCCGAATTTTTTGCGTTCGACAAGTTTACTTTACAATATCTTGCCAACACGTCTGGGAACGTGTGAACCAACCTTTTATACATTTTATACATCACATCTGAGGTGAAATAGTACCATGAGGCGCTGTTTTCATCATACAGACCTCGGACAGAATGCAGTATTTCACAATTTTGTAGTACAAACTGCACTCATTCAATATTCAGGACGATCGAAGTACGCGTTAGCGAAACCGCTAAAAAATTTCCAAAATCACCTATACGGCGAGCCGGTTCTCGCGCCAAAGTCGACTGTTTAAATTAAAAGATTAACAGAGTTATATGCTTCAACATAATGGCTTTATAACGATGTGTAATCTTCAAAAGCGTTTGATACGCGCGGCATTTTGACTACTCCTGCAAGCAATGTTCATGAGCGACTGAAAACAAACGGCACAGACTACTAACAATCAATAAAAAGGAAAATAATTCGGTGAAACATATATACAGACAATTTTCATTCACGAAGACAAGTATCAAGTGTCACTGAAAATCCTTGTTTATGTTTTAAGCCAGCTTCCCGGTGTTTGCTTTTTTCAAAGATGAACTCGAGGCAAGAAAATCGCTCAAAGCTTTCTTTTACAGCCAGAATTATAACTAGATATTCTTTCGAACGTTTTCTTTCTATTTGCGGTTAGAAAACGTCCAGAGGCTTTTTAAAGTTCAATGAGCTTATAATCAAACCTGATACTCGGTCAGATTATTGTGTCAAATCTTACAAACGTGCATAAACTAAATAGCCCCATAAACTACGCTCGACATCAAATGAAATAATTACTCAGGCTTACCATTCGAGATGCACTGAAAACTATCAAGTAAGGCCAGATCGCTTCAGACTTTTCAACCATCTTAAGCATCAAGCAAGGTGAAAAACGAAAGCGATGCCATCCGAAATCGGATTTTCGATTTTGACAAGCGACGTATTTCTCAACCAAAAACCCAATAAACAAACTAGCCAAGAATAACAGAAGACTCTTGATAGCTGCCGAATTTCATTTCGCACATTCAGTGGAAAAAGACAGTTAAAAACATCACAAGTTGACACAAAACTCTGTCAGCTTCAGCTGTCAAAGTAAACAAGTTTCAAGATGCTGCATAAATTTTTCTGCATGAACTTACCTGTCAAATTTTGACCAATCAGAGCATAAAAATTGGACGTCGAGCGTTACCAACGGGTGACCTTGGTGAGAAAAGTCAAAAGCAACTGGCATGTCTTGCCTGCCTGTAAAAACTGGCTGAATTTTAGTTTCCGAGGTCAGTTTGAAATCAAAATTTTAATTGTGCGGCACATATAAACACAACATATTTCATATGAATTAAAAAAAATTAAACTTGAGCCTGCGATCATTTGAAAACTAGTAACTTGTTGGCGGATAACTTCAAAAAGATACTCCTCCTCGATGGGTCAACACCTGAGCCCGCGATTCAGTCAGGTGATACTGGTCAGCGGATACCCTGTTCTGACAGCTGTCAATTGATCACAACATTGATGTGCAATATGTGTGCAATATCAGTCTTCCCGTGCTCCCAGACTAGCTAGAAAGTGTGAGATTGAACACTGGTTTTCCTGTGGTGCGGACGGGCGGACGGACGGGCGGGAGGGCGGGAGGGCGGGAGGGCGGTGTACTGTCACGTAATTACCAAATTTTCTGGGATGGGTAGATTTACTTACGCATGGTGCTCCGCAGGCGCGCTTCGCGCGCCAGAGCTCCGCTATCATTATCATCATCGTCATTACGATCATCATTATCATCATCATTAACAACAACAACATCATAGCGATAAGTATTGCTACAATCAGTAGGACCACATCATCGTCATCATCATTCCCTTTTACGTTCATCAAACCCAGCTGCATCGGTTAATGTCAAAGCCAGATTACCCAGTCAAAGAAGAGTGCTGTTCGAGAGCCGTCGTCGTTTGTTTTTATTCAACAGAATGTGAAGAAGCTCTCGGTATGGGAGACGGAGAGATCTCCAACGGGCAAGTCATTGCTTCTTCGCAACTGGATGCCGAGCATGCAGCCATCAACGGCAGACTAAAGGCTACAACAACTTCAAATAAAGTAGGATCGTGGTCACCTTATACAAATAATGTTAAGCAATGGTTGCAAATAGATCTGGGCAGTCAAGAGCGTACCCTTGTAGCAAAGATTGCTACTCAAGGAGAAAATGCTAAAAGCACGTGGGTCACACATTACACATTACAGTACAGCGACAACGGAGATAAGTTCAATGTTTACAAAGAGCTAGGACAAGGTAAAGATAAGGTGAGACGCCTCTTCTTCGTCAAAGTGAAAAAAAGCAGTTTAGCCGGCATTTCTCCACCAACCTTTAAATACGTATATATTTTGCTCGTGTGCACATTAATGGTCAGACTAAAAATATGTCTTGCAACCCGCTTCCCTTGAGGAATGCAGCAAGAAATGAATTTATTGACTGAATTTAACCCATGTGCGTCCGACCTGGATTTTTCAGGTGTTCGATGGCAACACGGACCCGGATATCATTGTTTCTCATAAACTAAATCCACACATAAGAGCACGGTACATCCGTTTCCTACCAACCGCTTGGCATAAACACATCTCTATGAGGGTGGAACTCTATGGATGTAAAGGTAAAATAAACAGATAACTTTTAATTTAAAACATTTCCCAATTAAGTTTAAATCTCAGACTTACATGTATGAAGTGGACGCCCATCCCCAACCTCCCCAAGCAGTTTACTTTTATCTCAGATACATTTTGACAAAACGTGGCGACGCACGGTTGCCTATTTTGGTTACGAGATATGAAACTGTTAAAGGAGAGAGTTCAATCTATTTTCGAACAGTTTTATACAGTTTTACCCTGAATATGAATATTATGGAAACAAGCGAATAAACGTGACAAAATATACCATGATACACGATAAATTACCAAAAGAAGGAAATTCTCTTTAGCATTAGAAGAATACAGTTAATTTTGTGATTCAATTTAAAAAAACAAAAACTTTCATGAGTCAATCTGACAAATGATCTTTCCTTAGGGACACCAAAATATGGCCACTGGTTCTTAGATGGTTCTGATTTAGATGTAAGGTTAGTATAACATATAAATAACCTACTGAAGAAACGTGATGATAATGATGATGATGATGATGATGATGATGATGATGATAATACTCATAGTCATCATCATCGTTATCGTCAATGCTTTCATCATAGAAAATTTATCATAATGATAATGATGATGATGATCATAATAATAATAATAATCATAATATTCATGGTCATTATCATCGTTATCGTACGTCAACGCCTTTCATCATAGAAATTTTATCATAATGTTCTCCATGCATTTGATTGATACTCATAAGTCACTTTGTGCATCAAAGGGGAGTCCCTTCATAATTTGTCGTAGTTTTCAAAAACTTTGAAAGATCTCTGGTGGTATGCTCTTTTTAAGCTTAATATTTCACTTCGATTTTTGCATTCATTGTTCTAATTTTCATTTTGTAGATTTTTTGGTGCGGTCAACTACACTGAAGGTTGGTGCCTTGGAAGTAAAGCGGTGTATTTAAGTCAAAAAGGTTCCTTTGTCACTGTGCCCAAAGTAAACATTACAAACTGCGACTTTACAATTGCTTTTTGGATTAAATCTGGTAGTATTGAGGGACCTTTGATGGCGATTTGGTCTGGGAGTGGAAAGCTACTTTACGCAGCAATAAAGAATTCCAGTGTCATCTTGTCGATATATAACACTATAGCAAAAGCAAACTTCGCAATCAGTGACTGGAATCATGTAGCCGTAACCTGTGAGGAGTCTAAAATCAAGGTGTTTGTAAATGGAACAGAAATTTTACCGAAGGAACAATGGAACGAGTTCTTCTTCTTAACGTCAGACCATCTTGAGGCGGAAAATGTGATAGGAAATCATCCAGTCCTGTTCAAGTTGCCATTGGTAAATAAACCTTTTGTTGGGGCACTGATGGACCTTCATGTAATCGAAACTGCCTTGTCTACAAATCAGGTTTCTGACTTAAGCAAAGGTAATCTGTTGTTGTTAGGGAGTTTAACCAAATGAGTTTTTGAGTGACGTACGTCGACCGGAAGTGAGATGTTTTCCCTCTTTATACATCTTGACGTTGCCAAAATCGTAATGCCTCGTTGTCTTGATCTTATAAGGGACTTGATGATCCGACGACGCGACGGCAGCGAAAACGTCGCTCCGCTCGGGGCGCAAATGATGCTACTCGGGCTACAAATAATTTGTATGCCCCCAAAAAGTCATGTGATTGTCATAGTGATCTAAAAATGTATACGCATTACACTAAAAAAAACGGAAGTAATTTTGAGCTGGTCAAGAACTTGAGCGTCTTGTAAGACGAGGTGTCTAAACGGGGCTGATTAAAGCAGCTGGAGTGACAACCCTACAGTCGCGAAAGGATCCCCATATTTTGGTGCTCTTATCAGATCGTAATTGACCAGAAACAGAGAATTAAACCGAATCCCTTGTATAGCCTACACACAAGTAAATAACTAACTGATGACGATATATTTTTGTAAACCTAAGGCACGCCGAAAACTCCAGTTATTAACAAGAGGGAAAGCAAGATAAATGGTTGCACAGTAAACCTCACATGGAGGCGTGACGTGTGTGCCACTACAAAGAACACCATACGCTTTAGGGTGATAAATCCACAGGGCTACAGAGCAGAACGCCGTGTAGAAGAGCATACATCACCGAAATTATATCATCTATTGACACTTGACTGCGACAAAATCTATCAGATTGAAGTGTCTTCGTGGATTGGAGAACTTCAAAGTGACTGGTCTACTCCTTGGCAAGTTCAAACTAACTCACCTATGATACAGCAGGATACACAAAACGCTTACTGTAAGTACCGCAAGGGAACAAAATATAGATTGCGTTAACCCAAGCCGCACTGGCGTTCCTCCTAAGCAGACATTCTTAGGGCCTCGTCACACGTCGTTGCGTGACTAGTCAAAACGCCTTCTGCGTGGAAGGCTACTTCTTCCAGGACCAGTGAGGCTTTATATCCGTTCAGAATCGTGAGGTCATGGATGATGCCATTAGATAAGAAACAAACCAGAAAATGCCGGCCGCAAAGAAAATAGTCCTAGATGTACTTATAATTCATCTCTCTATTATTTCGAACAGGGTAAATGGAAGAGCAAGTCATTGCCACAATAATGACCGACTTTTAAGTCACGTTCAAGCGAACGAGAACATATTCTATCTTACCCTACGCGCTCGGTCATTATTTTTTCAGAAGAAGGTCTAACTAATTAGACATTATCCTATTTATAATATCCGTCAATTAATATATCAAACAAACTCCCGCAACCGAGACAATAACACTTAGTATATAGACACTCAGTGATCTTGGTTATTTAAGCAATCTAATTGCTTCGCTATCTCGGACTATTCAACAGTATTCACCTCCTAGCGAGTGGATAATGTGTGAGCTCGGTGTTTTTCCCATTTTTCTTAGTGAAAGATCTTTTAAAACTCGACAAAATCCTAGGGCTGACTTTTTTCAGGGCAAGAAAAGACTTGGAAGGATTCAATACAGCGTTTTTCAATTTACTGTAGCTGAGTTTTGTGCTCGATGGATTGTTTACAACTCCCATGTATTCGCGTAGAAGCCGTTTCGTGAACTCGGCGTTTTCCAACAAGAAAATTTGGTCTCAAAAATCGAAGTTTATTTATGACAAACAAATTTAAAAGGAAATGTTTGCAGAAATTCTACCTTTCAAGTAAACAGGAAAAAGAATGATACAAGAAGACGACGTCTTACCTCGAGCAACCGGGCCGCCATTTTTGTCAGCAGTTCATGCGAAGAACGACAAAACAAACCATTTTGGCTATAAACTTGGAGAGTCAACAGAAACCAACAAAGCTCTACTTTTCTTCTCAGGCAAGGAAACAGTTCAAACTTTTAGCGGTTCCATTTAAGCCATTACGCTGCTGTTTGCGAAATGATAAACATGTGAATTGCCATGTTTGAAAATTCTGCAAAGATCTATTTTTAAACTTCCGCGTGATGTGATCTCTGAATCAAATCGTACTTTTTAATGGTTTCCTCTCTGATTTTGTTGAGATCACTTCGTGTGCATTTACTAAAACAATTATTCTTTTCAATCTCGATGAATGGTGGCTTTGGGAATATTTACCTCGCCGCGGCTCGGTAAATATTTAGCCACTATTCACCTCGATTTCAAAGAATAATTGTTAATTATCCTCTTATGGATGACGTACATGTAAATTGCATGCATTCCATATCTTTTTACATTAATTTATTTCTGTCTTACCAGCTAACGATGACGCTACAAAAACTCTGGGAATAGTTCTTGCAATTACTGCTACTCTTGCGGCAGCAATTCTCGTGGGGATCTACCGAAGGAGGCAAAAAAGGGAAGAACGGTATGCTTAAATGACGCTGAAAAGTCAAGAGGGTTTACTCCGCGCATGTTTACAAAGATGGACACTGACACTGACACTCGCGTCATATCCGACAATTTCTTCGAAAAGTAGTTCTCCAAGGAAACATAATGTTTTTGCTCGGACTCGAAAGCCGATTTGTTGTCTTTTTTTGCCTGGTGTATTTTCCTATTGACGAAAGATCTAAATACAAAATCGGCTCAACTTTTCTGTTCACCATATATTTTCGTTATTGGGGAAGGGGGCTCATCAAAGGGTCTTTCATAGACGGAACAGCTGTCCATGGCTGCCACTGCCCAAATTTGACCACTGCCTTGTTAGCTCAGTTGGGAGAGCGCCGGTCTGCTAAGCGCGTTGTTTGTTAGCACAGGCAAATGTCTTTGTAATCTTCACAGTGTCTAGTGTGAAAATTGCGATTTGTAAACATTGCATCAGTAGGCATTTGTCTAGGAGGTCCTGATGCATGGTGCTTTTTAGGTAGCAAATCTTCTAGTGAGGGCAGGAAATGTGCCCCTTGAAGTCGCCGAAGTCATAGGTAATGTCAAATACATCCGTAATGGCGATTACAGACCAAAACGAGGGGGGCTCTGCCCCCCTCCCAGAATTTTTGTTTGGGGGGTGGGGGGGGGGGGGCTACGGACCACCCTGCTCCGCCGCCTACGCAGTAGGAAAAACCGTTCTTCCTACACAGTTTCTTCATAGTTCGATCCTGTACAAAACGAAATTTTTCGCTAATATTGGATGTTTCCTATTTAGATCCAAGAAAGAAATTGTTCATTTTATGTCAATGGAAGTCCCACACGAGCGAGTAACCATCATGGGGGAACTTGGTCGAGGGGCTTTTGGCAAGGTTCATAAAGGTGTGATGAAGGAGGTAACAAACGCAAATATATATTCCGATACCAGTGGAAGAAATCCAAATGTACATTCCAAGGACAGCCTACAAACATTGAAGGACAATGAAGGACGAATTGTTGCTGTTAAAGTCCTTCTTGGTGAGCTACTACGCCATTTTCGACGAATGTTTACAAATCATGTTCAACCAGCACGTTGTTAACGTAAATAATGTTTGTGTAACTTTAGTGTAGTCGAAGTTCACTTCCATGTGGGATCAAGGCTTCCACTTCCAACAATGCAATAAAAATTGCTTAACTTACATGTGACAGACGTCTTGCTAATACTAAAGCTAAAGTCTAACCTCCATAATCGGCCACTTCTCTACAACGGTCACTATTTTTTGTCCCTATAGGGACAGTCTATACAATGAATCTTGTCTAAGCGTCTCTACAACGGCAACGGCCACTGACGCATAACCCCAACTGCCAAAATAACCTGTTGACAACGGTCAGTTTTTCCGCCGACTGATGGAAAAGTCACGAATGATCATGGAACTTGTTCCGCATGGCGCGTTGACGATTAATCGCGGTAATCCTATTTTGATTGTGTTCCACTTATATTGCTGCAGTAAGCATAAATTGTCTGCGATACGTCTAACCAATGCTGCGAACTTTGCTCGTTTTGTCACGTTAACATTTTAATTCAAAACATGATGCCCTTCTTCACCACTTTCTTTGCATGGGTAAGCAGTTCACAAACCCTCTCGATATTGTTTTTCTGGACTGATTTTAACTGATATCCTTTTGTTCATTAACTCCCGTTTTTGTTTAGAAAATGCTGGAGAGGAGGAAAAACGACAGTTTCTTCAGGAAATTGACCTCATGAAGGACGTTGGATCGCATCGAAACATTCTTAGCATACTCGGTTTTTGGATTCGGTCAGAGCCCATCATGTTGATCATGGAGTATGTTCCTCACGGAGATCTTCTGCAGTGGCTTAGAAACAAAAGACAGCAAATAAAGCATGTTACTGTACGTATCGATTTTTTGCCATTTTCTCCCTAATAGCAAAATTTATATCAGCTTATTTGTTGCCCCGTTACATTTCCTATAACTGTATAGCCTGGAGCATTTCTCAAAATATAACGTAAATTCAAATTTTTTGAACATGTCTTCAATTCCTGTTAACTTAAATTTATTAAGCATTGATAATACAACCAGAAATATGATAACGACTCTTTGGGTTAAAAAATGATAAATACAAGGGAGAGTAGACACTCGGGCAAAAGGGGCGGACGTATATGCCCTAATCAAAGGTTTTCCTCTAATTTGTTTTAACCTGAATTTTCGGTAAAATTCAGGGTGACAACAAAGATGACGGCCATTTTCAATGAGGGCACTAGCTGCAACGCCATTTCCCACAATATTTCTATCACCTTGCAGAGCTTGTCGCAGTCTATACTGAAAGAGTTTTGTATATCTAAAACATTTAAGGAGAGCCAAAACCACTGGGGAGAAAGAAACACTCCTCGAAAGGTTGACATCGTTTTCTTGAAAACCGGAAATTTATTTGGTCTGAAATCAGAAAAATATCATTTCTAAGGAAAGAAATATCTTAAGCTGTAGTTATGTCGTATGGTTATTGCGCTTTCGTCTGTGTAGAAAATGATCTTTTGGCTCTGGTAAAATTGCTTCACCAGTCTTCACTATATAGAATATTAATTTGTAGACCTAAATCATGTTTAAACTACTTGCAGCTTACAAAAAAGAATAATGACCAGACTGATGTCTTAGAAAGTCAGAAGAAAAACACGGATGGTCAGGAGATAAAAAAAGGGAAGATCAAAAATGAAAAACAAGGGGAAGATGGCTCCAAGCAACTGCAAGAACTAGCAAATCCACACAAATCCAAGGAAACCGATGTTGACACCAACGTTGAGCGCCTACTTGAAATACTACCTCAGTGTTCAACTTTGGAAAAAGAAGCGACATCGCTGGGGCAGAGCTCGAGAAATATCCCAGAAGTTGCTACAAGCCTCGTTATGGTAGGAGGCGAAGGACCCACTCATCAGCTCACGAACTATGACGAACCGAAGGGAAGCGATGAAATAACCTTGACTATAGAAACAGAGGATAGGAACAGCGATGCTAATGGAAAGCAAAAGGAAATAGAAAGTTTCGAAAACGAGAAAAGCAAGTCCAAAGGTGATACCATGAACGTATACGTATCATCTCCAGAAACCAAACCTGGTAAAGAAGAAAACGAAAAGAGAGTACAGTCATTACCACCGACCTTTAAAGACGACCAGTTTCCTGAATCCCTTGAAAGGACCACAGCGAGGGCCTCTAGCGAGAAAGACGAAGGCACTTCTGACATCGACAATAAAGACCACGTTTTTTCTGCAGATGATATGATGAGTTTTGCGTGGCAGATTGCTAGGGGAATGGTAGGTCAAGTCTTTGCTATGGGAAAAGAATCATACGAACAAACACTAACAAATACTTCCGAAAAATATAAAATTTGATTTTTTTGCCTAAGGTCTAATATATATTCGACAGCGATTATACCGTGGAATAGAGGCACCTCTGAAACTATCGCACGTATTCTACAACCTCACATCATAAGCGTTGCACACAAACCGATAACTACTTTACGAAGACTATAATTACTAACGTCAAGGACAAAGACAAACCGGAGGAGCAGTATACGAGATAAAATACTACAACTGCCAGGCTACTTACACTGGTAAGACCGGCAGAAACCTAAGCACGGGACTGACTGAACACAAACGAGAGACAAGAAATGGTGATGTCAACAATCACATTGCTGAACACCATTTACAGACGAAACGTCAAATCGACTTGCATTAGGTACTCTTCATACTACTATCAACGACTGACTTTAGAAGGTTGGTTTACAAACTTAAAGCAAACCCCACTGAATCGTAGTCAACAGTTACCGGCACCGTGCAAACGACTTATTGATGGACTCAAGCAAAACTAGCTACAAGAGAATGACTGGACAACCGACAATTTGACTAACAATAAACGACTGTTAAACTGTGACAATAGACGGATCGAAACGCACCATAATCGTAACAGAGCCTTAGTAGCCAATATCATTACGGCTTAATTGGCAGACGACCAATAACATCGCGACTTAATTGACCAAACAGGTCAATAATCAGAGTTTAATATCATCAACTGACGTGATACAACTCACTTTGACTCTGATGATGATTGATGACTTCCGCAGAGGTTGTCGAAACGTCAGTCACTGTCAAAAACAGTCATATTCAGGACTTCGTTCACCCGAACGATCAATATCAACCAACTTATGAAATGACCACTGGGTTCAAACCTTTCACAGCTACAATAATCTGTTGCCCACCAAAAGGGGTTAAAACTTCTCGCCCAAATAATGGCTTCACCTCATTACGTTTTGTAAGAACTGGTAACTATTAATAGTAACTGGCAAAATCTGTCTAAGAAGAAAATAAGCAGCTACAAACGAGAATAGGGATCAGGCAAACGGCTAACAAGTAGATAGAAGAGACTAAGTTATAAATCATCATTTTATCAGGAATACTTGGCCAGTAAAGGATTTGTTCATCGCGATCTGGCAGCCCGTAACATCTTACTTGGTGAAAACAGAGCGGTGAAGATTTCTGATTTTGGTATGCTACGCCGCACGGGTGAGAGTGAGATATATGAGGTGGCAACCGTTAAGAAACTGCCCATAAAATGGACATCACCTGATTCACTGGAGACCGGAATTTTTACTTCCAAAAGTGATGTGTAAGTTAAAATTAAACTTTGCAATGTTTCTTAGGGCTAATTTCACCTGCAACACAGGTATAAGCACGAGCCCATACCAAGATTTAAACAGAGAAACCTGGCTACTACTGAGTGAATTCTTTCCTACGGCCGGTTGTTCACCAGAGGCACTTTTTGGACATTTTCCATAACAAAAGCTCCTCTAACAGATGTTCCAAAGCATTAAATGGCTAACATATACCATTACCAGTTACCATCCCATTTTTTAAAGGCAGGAGACTGGGTTCGAATTTACTCTAACCAAACGAAGATTGACATACGTCCTAGCTTCCTATTTGAGAGCCTCTGTTTAAACCCTTCCTTCCCAGTTACACAATGGGGCAACTGCAGGATGGCATCATTTTACTACTACTACCAGAATCCTTCAGTGTTTTGCTTTCTTGTGCAAATTAGGACTTTTGTTTTTTAACCTCACAGAGGTTACCAAACGTAAGTATCAAAGAAAAAACGAAATGAATTCTGGTCTTAGTAGCAGAAAGACGTCATCGTGCAAATGGCCTAGCTATTTATTGTATTTCTCTCCGCCTCCACCCCCCCCCCCTCCTTCCGCCCCATGACTACCATTTAAGGGGCCACCCTCCAGTGAGTAAAACTCTGTGTCACTGAATGCTTCGCTAAGAACCTCGCGATGAATAGAATCACAGCATGTGGTCAGCAGGCTGCTATTTTGTTCATACCAAGATACCCTTCTGAAATGTTAGCATGCAATAAAACTATTGACTTTTCCGGCTACGTTTAGAAAAAAAATGCAACTATTGATGTAAGGATTCGCGGACAATCAAGAGTAATTTCCCTCCTTCTCTCATTACAACTTTTTACATTATAATTGTTAAGTTGTTTCACCGATTATTTATTTTCATCATACTGTACCTTGTTCCTTAGATGGTCCTTTGGAGTTGTTTTGTGGGAAATGGCTACCATGGGTGAGATATATTTAATGCTTTGACTGATGTTAGAACTAGAATGATTGTCCATTGCATTTGTTTGTTTGTTTGACTAATAAATTCTGACAAAGTAATTTCGTATCCATATCTCTTGTCGAGGAAACCAAAGGCGAGATCTGGTCAAATCCGTACGTCAAGTGATCGCCAGTCAGGCGCACTCCCCCACAATCTTAACAGTATGAGTAACCAATGAAATATGTTGATTTATGATGAAGTCCAGATATAACGCACACTCTGTTTGGTTGCAAATGTGTGCTTATGAGAGTATAAAACACGCAGCAAAGTGTCGCACCATCTGCCGAAAGTTTGTTTTGAAAATTAAAAAGTGATGCATAGGGAATTTAATGGATTCTTTTTCATGAAACAAATAAGGAAGCCTTGACACCGTGCTCTGCTTTGTTGTAAACCACGCAGGAAACGGCAAGAACACTTAAGAAGTAAGGAGAAATACTCCTTCGTGCTTTAGCTGCTTCCGGCGTGCTTTACAACACAACAGAGTACAGTCGAAGCTTTTATATTTTAATCTCTTTTCAGTTGACCTTATCTCGTCTTCGGCTTCGTCGACCAGAGATCTGGGTACAAGATCACTACCAACGTAGTGAGTCAATCTGTCAAGTGCTAAAATAAGTAGCAGTTCTTGACAGACGTAATGTTGGCTTAAAAGTTCTTTGAACCTTCCACAATGACACCTAATTTGAACATTTTAGGGGGGACTCCTTATCCCAGAATCAGCCATGCGCAGTTGTACAATCTCCTTAAGAAAGGGTATCGCATGGAACAACCAAACACTTGCAGTGATGAAATGTAAGTAAACGTATTGTAAATGACTCGCAATTAATACTTGTACCAAACAAGAAACATAATTAGCATCTTTTAAAAACAACATCGTTACGCTATAGGCATGATCATCTTTAAAACGTTCATAACAAAGCCCCGTTCTCGACTACTTCTTTTACTTCATCCGTAAAACGC